GCGTGCCTGTAATCGAAACGCTGTCGGTCGCAGCAAACCTCGATCCTCAATCGACGACGACGACGACGACTTTCGTATTCAAAAGGCATGCTCCAGAATATAAGCTATTTGATGGCCCGATGTTCTCTGGGCGATCGTCGTGTTTCGCGGTATGCCTACCGCCGCCGAGCAGGCCAGATTGATGATATCGGCGCGTCATCTGGTTTGCTGCTATCGGTGGGCGGCTACGTCATCTAGACTCTCGATCGGCGATGCGCCAATGAACGACGAACAACCTACATAGAACTTGACTAAACCAATGCGTAAGTACACCGCGCGCGGTGCTGGGGGGCCATAGCATGCCATAGCAAAGCGCGCAACCTGCCCGCGTAAAGCATTGATGTTTTGTTTCGTCGTTCAGGTCCTTGGCGACAAGGCGCTGGACAGCTCTGCCTGCATTTGTTCTCGAACGCATGACCCAGGTGGTAGTCGGGGGCCTTCGGAGGCACCGGCTATATCGACATGCCATCCCGTCGTTCGCCCAGACGGCCTGGGGCCCGTCGTTTGCAAGCCTTGTTAGTCCAGCGCGTTGAGACGCGCCACCTCCCACCCACACCCGCTCATAAACAAAGCGTCCCGCCCTGGTCTCCGACGAAGTCTGTGATCAGACAGTAGGGCAAGACGCGGCGGTCTGCGTGGGAATGCCATCGGGCCGCTGGGTACGTTTGGAAGAAACCTCCTCCTCCTCCTCCTCCTCCTCCTCGCCCCCTCCTCACCCTCGTCTTCAGTCGTCTGTATCGTCCCTCCTCCTCCTCCTCCTCCTCCTCCTCCTCCGTTTCCTTCTTCACTCCTTCCATCTTTTCCCTCCCTTCTGCATCTTCCTCCTCCCCCTCCCTTCCCGCCCCCCACTCGCCCCCCTCGCCCCCGGCTGGGCGGCCCGATCCTGCCGACGCCTACATCGGCAGGATGAACGTCCTGCGCGGAGGGGGGATGGCAGGGGGGGCGAAGGCGGCCAGCGGGAATTGTTAATTCGAAGCATCAACTGATCACTCGAGGAGAGCGAAGACGAGGACCCCCTCCTTCTCCCCGCCCTCGAGGACGCACTCGTCCGTTTTAGGTGTGGAACACGCAGAACCTGTGCTCGTTCTTCCGTGTATCTTGCGTGTAATTGCAAAGCGTGTAATGCGCGTTCGTCAACTTTAGCTGTGAAAACACATGAAAAGTCACAAGATGTTCCACGAGTATCTTGTGGAACAACTTGCACAAAATGTTCCACGCGTAATGTTCTGCTCGCCCTGCCCAGCCAGTGTACGCGAACCCTCTGCCCAGCGCGTTTCCTCCCTCATGCTCACCTCGCCCGCCCTCCTCCTGCTGATCACCGCAACCTTGGCTCCAGAATGCCCCTCCGCATGCCCGCGCCTTCATCCTCAATTCTTCCTCGCCTCCAACGCGCCCTCATTTCTCCACCTTCCCTTGTCCTCTTGCTCCTCTTGCCCCTCCCCGCGGTCTACGCCCCCCCCTCGATCTTCCCCCATTCATTGCCCTAGCCCTGATGCAGCTCGCCTCGGACGCGCCATGTAGCCGTCCACTTCCTCGTCCGCCTCCTCCTCCCCCTCCACCTCGTTGCCCACCGCTGCTCTTCTCAAGATCCGATATGCATAGAGGCCCTAGGGGCCGCCTCGACCACCTGAGACGGCGCGGCGCCGCCCTGTCGCCGCGAGCGCTATGGCTGAGCCGTGCCGCAAGATGGCGAAGGTGCCAATCTTCGTCGTCGTCGTCGTCGTCGTCGTCAACCTCGTTCTCCTCGTCCTCCTCCTCCTCCTCCAACCGTTGCTGCTCCAAGCTTTCCTGCCTCCTCCTCCTCCTCCTCCTCCTCCTCCCCCCATCCCCCTCCCTCTCCCCCTATATCCCTCCTTTGCCCCTTCCTCCAATACCTCCTCCCCTCCTCCTCCTCCTCCTCCCTCCATGCCCTCCTCCGCCCCCTCCTCCCCCTTCCTCCTCCTCCTCCTCCTCCTCCTCCTCCTCCTCCTCCTCCTCCTCCTCCCCTCCTCCTCCTCCTCCTCCTCCTCCTCCTCCTCCTCCTCCTCCCCCTCCTCGCCCACGCAAAACTCGCCCTCGCATGCCCCTCCCGGGGAATATGTTCTTTCAATCGCACAACCCTGAAGGTTGTCGACACATTGGCCGAGTGCGATGGTAGTGGGCCCACGCCAGAGGTGCGAGGGCGATGGCGGCGTGAGATCTCCATTTCCGAGAGCGACAAGCACGCCGTCCTCGGGGCGTCGTGCTCCGCCGACGTGGACTCGAAAACACTTCGTGTGCTTTACGCGAAGATCGCCCGCATGATGAAGCGGACTGACGTCAACCATTCGGTACTTACCAAATGGGATAATGACAAGAAGACGCCCGCTGGCAAACTCGATTTCCTTAAATGTTTCGTTGTCGACCCCGCTTGCGCTTTCGTGGAGGATGTATGGCATGTGCACCACGGTCAACTCCTACCCATGGTCTGGGCCTCGGAAGAATACGCGTACGTTCGGTACGGGGCAGAGCACTCCGACGCCACCAAGATCTTCTGCGACCGCCTGATAGCGATGGCGAGGACGCGGCGCCAGGACCCGCCAGGGGTTGGAGGGTGGGAAATCCTGATATCCCTCTCCTTCTCGCACCCCCTCGGTTAAGTTATGATAAGAACAAACAGTCGGAAGGGGAGGATGGCCTGGCCAGGTCTCTCCACCTTCTCCTAGTCCTGCCCCTCCCCCCCTTCCCTCCCCCATGCCCTCTCGGACCTCTCGGGGCTCGCGCACTTCCAACCCCGCGGGCTTTCGCCGAAGAAGGGGGCGAATGAGATGAGGACGAGGAGGAGGAGGAGGAGGGGCAGGAGGAGGAGGAGGGGGAGGAGGAGGGTTTTTTTTTTTTGAGCTCCACGCTCTCGCCTCCACAGTCGGGGCCACCCCGACGTAGACGCCTGCAACGGAGGGAGGGGGGGAGGAGGGGGACGGGGAGGAGGAGAAGGAGGAGGAGGAGGAGGAGGAGGAAGAGGAGGATATGGGGTGGATGCATGGGTCTGGGGGGGCTGAGCCACAGAGGAGGCGGAGTACAACCACGACAATTGGTTCCATGAATTCACATTCCCAAAATTCAGATTCCCGTGGGTCGATGAGTACAGCAAGCGCGGCGGCTGGGGCATGCAACGCTGCGGCCTGCACGACGGCGACGTGGCCAACGCGTTGGCCATGCTTGCCCACGAGGTCCAAACAATCATCGCGGGGGCGCAGACGACCGTTTGCGTGCTGGAGATGAGCTACGATCGTGACGCGGATGGCGGTGACACGGACGGGCGGGGGATACACAGAGCACCCCCAGTCCAGCCCCCTCCCCCTCGACCCTCCTGGGGCCGAGGGCGAGGCGGAGGAGAAGACGGGAAAACGGATAATGACGACGACGACGCGGACGAGGAGGAAGAAGAGAAGGCGGCGAAGGAAAAGTTAGAGGAGAGGCAATAAACGGAGGAGCGCGGGCCATGCTGGAGAGACGGGTTCCCTGTTCAGGATGCCTTCATCACGCATATGAAGACCAACTTAGATATAGCGCAGACGTTCCTGACCACGCTCGTCGGGGTCGTTAAGTGCTGCAACGGTATGTTCTTAGCCCTGGCGAAGAAATATCAATACAACATCCAGCTTAAGATCGAGTGCCTCGCCTCGGACATCAACGAAGCCAACTTTCGCCTTTTGCACAACATCTGCATCTTGCCTCAGCGTCAACAGTTTGCGATCAAGAACGCATCCAATGTAGACTGGTCGATGTCGAGGCTCGTGAATGCCGAGCTCCAAACAGTCATGGCGACGGTCATTAGCGTCCTCGGGAGCGATCCTTCCTAAGGATGCCCTTGATATGCCGGCTGCACCGCAGCCCGCGGGCAATAGGGATGCCTCGCGCTGCCGAGAACGGCGAGCACGGGAAAGCATGCATTCTAAAGGAGGGGCGGAGGGCGGAGCGGGAAGAGGAAAACGAGGGAGAGTGAGAGAAGGGGAGGAGGGGTGGAGGAAACGCGACTAGCGCGGCAATATGCGGAGCGGGGCCGTCCTGCCGACGTAGGCGTCGGCGCCCTCGATGTGGCCCGCTGGGCCTGACCAGACCTTGCTCCCTGGGGGGGCGCCTGCGGGCTCCCCCATCCGCTCCACCCTCCTCGCACCTCTCCTTCCCATTCCTCTTCCTCCCCCACCCGCGTCCTCCTCCTTCCCGCCCTCTCCCGCGCCCGCCCCTGAGATCTCCCAATGCCACGTCGAGGGCGACCCGCGCATTTGCATGGGCAAGCGGCAAGCATGTCTGAATGCTATCGTTTCTGTTTTGCCCCGATCGTCTGCGCTTGAGCGCGCGTCGCGGGGCTGGGGAAACGCCGAGATAGCTGAGCAAGTGCCGGAGTGCGCCAACTACGCGCCCGCGCCGATCTTGGCCAGGCCCTTGGGCCCAGGATCGGCGCAACGTCGTGCATGGGCAGCGGCCGATCCAGGCGCCATGATCGACTTGGCCAAGATCGGCTCAGGCGTATAGTTGGACCCCTCCGAAACTGCACGCATTGAACGTTTGCGACGATCGACCTCGGAGCGATTGCGGGGAAGATGGCTGTCGACCGCTCGGAACTCCCAGGCGCGGAGCTGCAAGAGGGGAAGGCTACGGCACCCTAATGCACTGGTCCCTGGCCGTTGCCTGCCTTGAAGAGCGGCGCGGGGGCCCCCATCCCTCCCCTCCTCCCTTCCTCCCTCCCACCTCCGCGTAATATGATGCCCTACTTACTTCAGGAACATGCAAACACACGCCCGTAACATCCCTCGCATCACCAATATCGCATCAAACATCGCATCTTTATCATAACCATCATCGCCATCACCATCATCAACCTTTTCACCGACAGCACCACCCATAGCCGTTCAGGTTCAGAACCAGAACATCGCGCCGTTGCGCGCAGAGTGGCCACCCGGCACCGACAGCCAGTGTTAAGCATGCTTGCGCAGCAGGCCATGCAGTGGCCAGAGACGATTGTGGTGAACGGCGTTCGCCAGAACTCGCCGTACATTTGGCTGGAGCAGGGGAAGTTCATGTGCAAACCCTGTGGCGTGGAGGTTTCAAATCCTAACCACTTGAAGAAATCACAGCATAATAATAAGACGTGGTACTGGTGCTTTGGGTGCACGGATTTTGGCTTTAGGCAGAGGCCCAAGTGTGCAGGAGCAGACTGGGGATCCAGGGAGATCAACGAGCGTTATTGGAGGGATAGCCCTGGCTCTGATGGCCAGGATCAGGGGCAGCATCACGGCGGCGGCCAGAGCTGGGCGACGATGGCGGCGAGGGCAGCTTCAGCAGCTTGCGGTGGAACCTCGGGAGCTTCAGCCTCAGTGCCACCCGGGCTTGGCTCAGCCTGGAACGGCTCGGGAGCAACCACTCAAGATGGACGTGCTGGCCCAGCAGATGGAGCAGACGGTGCACCTCAACAGGCGAATGGTGGCACGGTCGGCGTTGCGGCTGCACACCTCGCATCAGGTGACTCCGACGACGAGGCCGCCACCATCGATGACGTGATCGAGACCATCGATGGCATCAAAAATAACATCAACGAGCTGCAGACTGGCCTCAACCAGCTGTCAACACAGTCGGCCAACATGTACGAGGTTCTTTCTGTACTGGAGTTACGGGGGAAAACGGAGCAACTGGAGAAGGTGCAGACCATGGAGTTCAGGAAGCTGCTCGCAGACACCCTTGATGAGCAGCATCAGGGCGTTAATGCGGTGAAGGAGAAGATGCAGGAGCTGATGAATGTGCAGCAGCCGCTGAAGGCGGATATGAAAACCTTGACGGACAAGGCGACGGAGCAGCATACAGCGCAGGGGGAGTTGACGAAACAGATGCAGGAGCTGATGAATGTGCAGCAGTCGCTGAAGGCGGATATGAAAACCTTGACGGACAAGGCGGCGGAGCAGCATACAGCGCAGGGGGAGTTGACGAAGCAGATGCAGGATCTGATGAGTGCGCAGCAGTCGCTGCAGGCGCAGATGACAACCTTGACAGAGATGACGAAAAATATCGATACTCTGGTGAACAGCTCGGTTTCGAGGGGCCGCCGTCGGCCAGCCTCGGATGTTCTGGGATCGTCGGCCAGCGCTGGACAATTACTACCAGCGGCGCCATACAATCAGCAGAGTCTGACTTCGAGCACTGGCTCACTGCCAGGCCTGCCCTCGCTAGCCTCGCCAACTTCGAGTCTCGACCAGCAGCGCGCACGCAGAAAAGCTGGCAGGAGGCCCAGAAGGCGGAGCGGGATGAGGAGCTTGGAAGAGGTGCTGCAGGCGCAGCTGCGAAGCAGTCGGCGCCTGGGGTGATGAGTCCGGCTGGCTTGCAGTAGGCCACGCGAACCTACGTCCAGCTACTTGCGGCCATAAGAGCCTACATGTTGCGAGAGAGAGAGAGAGAGAGAGCGTCTTTTTGCCAGACTTTCCGAGGGGGGGACGCGACGAGGATAACGAATGAATATGACCAAGATGGAGGATGCATATTGGTATGCAATGCGATGTAGTCGATGCACAATCTTCCGGCCGCCCTTGCTCGTAGCTCGCAGAAAAATGTGCACGTGCTGGCGCGAGGGGGCCGTAACAAGAGTAGCAGCACCAGACGCAGTGGAACAACCAACCATGGAAACAACAATCACATAGCATCAAACCGCACGGACACAAAAAAACACAAACAACACAACAACGTCACAATCATGAATCACCTTCATAACATGGCACGGAACGAAGAGCAACACATACACACCAAAACATGACGCGACATAAAACAACATAACACAACCTGACACATGAAACCTTACCCCCCCCCCCCGCTGGTTTATAAGAGCACCTGGGGCGATTCGCGGCTCGCCCGCTCGCTCCGTGACCCGCGGCACCCCGCGAAACGGGCGGGATAATGATGAGGAGCAGGACGAGGAGGGGCGGGGGGGGGAGGAGGAGGAGGAGGAGGAGGAGGAGGAGGAGGAAGAGGAGGAGGAGGAGGAGGAGGGGGAAGAAGAGGAGGAGGAGGAGGAGGGGGGAGGAGGAGGACCAGGGCTTCGCAAGCCCCGCCGCCCCGAGGGGCCGCGGGCCGCGAACAACCGAAATCATCTGGGTTTCGCTCCCCCCCGCCGCATCGACGCCACGAAGGGGGCCAAGGGCCGCGAGCAACCGATATCATCAGGGCTTCGCCCCCCCCCCCCCGCCCCGACGCCGCGAGGGGGCCGAGGGCCGCGAACAACTGAGATCACCAGGGCTTCGCCCCCCCCCGCCGCCCCGACGCCACGAGGGGGCCAAGGGCCGCGAGCAACCGATATCATCCGGGCTTCGCCCCCCCCGCCGCCCCGACGCCACGAGGGGGCCAAGGGCCGCGAGCAACCGACATCATCAGGGCTTCGCCCCCCCCGCCGCCCCGACGCCACTAGGGGGCCGAGGGCCGCGAGCAACTGACATCACCAGGGCTTCGCCCCCTTCCGCCGCCCTGACGACACGAAGGGAGCAAGGGGCCGCGAACAACCGAGATCACCAGGGCTTCGCCCCCCCCGCCGCCCCGACGCCACGAGGGGGCCAAGGGCCGCGAGCAACCGATATCATCAGGGCTTCGCCCCCCCCGCCGCCCCGACGCCACGAGGGGGCCAAGGGCCGCGAGCAACCGATATCATCAGGGCTTCGCCCCCCCCGCCGCCCCGGCGCCACGAGGGGGCCAACCGCCGCGAGCAACCGATATCATCAGGGCTTCGCCCCCCCCGCCGCCCCGACGCCACGAGGGGGCCAACGGCCGCGAGCAAACGATATCATCGGGGCTTCGCCCCCCCCGCCGCCCCGACGCCACGAGGGGGCCAAGGGCCGCGAGCAACCGACAGCATCAGGGCTTCGCCCCCCCCGCAGCATCGACGCCACGAGGGGGCCAAGGGCCGCGAGCAACCGATATCATCAGGGCTTCGCCCCCCCCGCCGCCCCGACGCCGCGAGGGGGGCCAAGGGCCGCGAGCAACCGATATCATCAGGGCTTCGCCCCCCCCGCCGCCCCGACGCCACGGGGGGGCCAAGGGCCGCGAGCAACCGAGATCACCAGGGCCCCGCCCCCCCCCGCCGCCCCGACGCCACGAGGGGGCCAAGGGCCGCGAGCAACCGATATCATCAGGGCTTCGCCCCGCCACCGCCGCCCGGACACCGCGAGGAGGCCAAGAACCGCGAGCAACCGAAATCATCAGGGCTTCGCCCCCCCCCGCCGCCCCGCGGCGCCTTGCGACGCCCGAAAGAAATTATGCCTCGCTTGAGCTCGAAATTTGAGAGGCCCCCGCGGGCCCGAGGGTCTGCTGAGGGCCCGTCGCGGAATCAATCCAACGCGGCCTCTGCGCGGGGCCGCCAGCGAGCCCGCTCGCGCTGGATATGGGGCCCCAAGCGCGGTCGGAAAGACATCAATGCCCAGGGCGCCTCAACGCGTGGAAAACGCAAGAAAAACACATGGACGGCGCGACTCAGCTGAACCCGCCGCCGCGAACATCAAGCGCAGCGCAAACAAATCTTAACGTCCCAGATGTTTTTTTTTTTTTTTTTTTTTTTTTTTTTTATATAACAAAAAAAAATTTAATTGCTAATGTTGGAAAACTTGAAAACACGCGTTCCCTAATGATGTTTTTGCGATGGTGTTCACGCGTCTCTCCGGGCAACTGGGCACAAAACGTGGGGGGTCGGCCATCCCCCACGTTTTGTGGCCAGTTGGGACCTCCAGGTAAGTTGCCTGCTGCACCATATGCAGACAGCTGTGCACTAGTGCACTATGATAACGATGTGACCCCTGGCTTTCATTATTATGAAGCTGATGGCACTGCCTTGAACATCTACGACATCACAGGGTCTACACATTCACGCATCATCCAGTGTCTTAAATTCAAGAAGCCGCTTGCTGGATTCGACCGAGACCTCACTAAGTTTGAGGAACTCGCTGATGGTTCACCACCAAGCGAGCCACCTCCAGCAGCTGCTCCTGAGCAGCCTCCTGCGGCGAATGATGGTCGGCTCCCGACCATCATAGAGGAAACAGAAGAGGATCTGGATGTCTTTGTCTTGGAGTCATGGTATGCTGAACTGATGGATGACAGAACACTCCTTGAAGCTGACACAGAAGAAGTCATGCACACAGTTCCGACATGCATGACAGACTCACAGTGCGTGTTGGTCTTTACGACCTGTGAAGATGTGCAAGGCCACTTGCCGGTGCGGGGTCACCCGCCAGGATACGACATGGGCACCTCTTACTACGTCCCTCTGTGCTCCACTGATCCGGACAGCCACTATGATCTGGACTCCGACGAGCACGGGAAGTACATCGAGCTTTGCTTCACAGCAGACATGTCCAAAGTCGTCCTGTCCGAGCAGCAACACCGATTGTTGGATGACAGCAGCGTCACAACTGCGCGAGTATATGTTAGTGCTGCCTCCAAACGTGCCGTGGTCGTCAAAGAAGACGACCTACTCACGAAGGCCGACATTCAAGCGAATCCGGTCAAAGTTTCCAAAGCCCTTTACACATAATTGAAGACTTGGCTTGACAACAAATGCTTCCATATGACTGACTTGAGCAAAGCGTCGAACATCATGACTTCACGCTATGTATACAAATGGAAGTTTGTCAAGAACGAGAAGGGCGAAATGGGACGGACGATCAGGTTGCGCTTGGTACTTCGTGGCCTCATGGACATTGGAGCCTTCGATGTCGAAACCTTCTCTGGCACGGCGAGGAGGTCAAACCAGAGATTGCTCGCAAGTTCTGCTGCATGCAACAAAGCTTGGATCATCGCTTCCCTGGACATCAACATGGCTTTCTTGAAGGGACTGACCTATGGCGAGCTCGCCGCGGCAACTGGCGAGAAAGAGCGTGTGGTGTGCTTCACACTACCTCCTGGGTCAGCAGCTGTCCTTCGCACATTGCCAGGCTTTGAGTCATCTGACGAATCAAAGCATTGTCTTCGGTGCCTCAAGCCGGGGACTGGCACGAAGGATGCTCCCAGGGCATTCTCGCTGAAGCTCAGGTCCATCACCGGGAGCTTTGGACTACAGCCTACGTCATACGATGAAGAGTTCGAGATGAGTTCAAACCTCTTGACAGCCAAACACGTTGATGACATCAATATGACTGGGAAGGAAGATTCCATTGACAAGTACGTCAAATGTGTTGAAGATACGTTTGGAAAGTGCAAACTGAACAAGCACACATACACAAATTGTGCCGTTCGGTACAACAAGACCGATGATGGGAGCGTCACTCTTGATCAGGACGAATACATCAAACAACTTCGTCCTATCACACATCCAGAGCTCACAGGCGCTGATCCTGAGAGCAAAGCGACAAAGACGATTTCTGATATGTTCGTCAGTCTTCGTGGCGCTCTAGCCTATGCGTTGATCGCGCAGGTATGGCTGATGGTCTATGTTGTTTCACTGCAACGTATCCAGGAACCGACAAACATCCAGGTACGACGACTGAACGCGGTTACCAGGAAATTGCAGGCAGGTCCGAAGAAGATCGTGTATCAAGCTATGACTCCAACAGGAGAGGTCGACCTGCATAGCGATTCTGGCTATCGTCGTCTCAACGGAGATGAAGACGACGAAGTCAAAGGCTACGGTATCCGCGGGGCTAACCTGCTGAGGCGTGGCCACACGCAAGCGGGGAAACCCGTCGTGCACCTGGTGGACGCATACTGCAAGTCTCATCGACTGCAGGTGCGTTCGAGCTACTCTGCGGAAACACTGGCAGCAGCCCACAACTTGGAAGACTGCTACCCGACCATTGTAACGCTCCACGAGCTACACTCGGGACCATTGACCCCCACACAGTTAAAGAACATATTGGAACTGGGTGGTCTATGTATCAAAGTCACTCTGACTATTGATGCCGAGTCTGTCTTCAAGTCTTTGTCTAGCAAAGATCTGAAGAAGCCCACAGAATGCACTCTGCTTGGGCACATCAGCTGGATCCGCCAGATGATGGAGCGCGGAATCGTTGAAAGCGCCCAATGGCGTGACACGCGGGATATGACTGCCGATGGTCATACCAAAGGTAGTATTGACCGCGCGTTGCTCCTAAAGGTAATGGCCGGTCAGCAATCCTTCAATCACGAGCTGAAGAAACATACTCCGTATAGGGCGGGCAGGTCGTCTCAGGACGGCCCTGCCTCCCGAGCTAGCGGGGAAACCCGCGCGCAGGTGCGCTTTAGTAGCGAGGAAACTCGCCGGTAGCGAGGCTACTCGCGCGCCCTTGCCTTGTAGGCAGCCGCTGTTGCCTAGCACTGTTTTTTCCGCGTAATGTAGAAATTCGGTGCTTGCTCGTCTCCTCCCCCTCCAACTTTAAACGGAGAGGGTTAAAGGCGAGATGTAAATCGAGCATGCACCGCTGCCGTGCCTGGCTCAAGCCGGGCCCGGCCGAACATGTGATTGTGCCTCACCGAGGCGCACTACTCGCATCTGAGATCGGAAAAGACCTTTCTATTGAAGATGCCCCTTCTATCCTTTACTCCAGATCCCATGCTTCATCTTGCTCTCTTGCTCATGCGGTATGAGCCAAAGCCTGGGATATGGGAGCGCCTAAGGCGGAACATATATCTTGGCTTGCCAGTGCGTTTTCGACTTCTTGGGCCGTCTTGGGGCCCTCTTCGGCCGTGTTGGGGCCGTCTTGGGGGCCACTTGGGCCGTCTGGGTCGCCTCTTGCACCGTCTTGGGGCCCTCTTTGGCCGTCTTGGGGGCCTCTTGGGCCGTCATGCGGGCTTGTAGGGCCCTCGCGTGGCGATCTTGAGAACCCTTTGGTCCGTCTCGGAGCGTCGGAAAGCCGAAGAGGCGAGAAGGCCAAACACCCTCTCAGAAACGTCTGGAAAACCGTTGATGTTTGCATTGTGGGGCCCTTTTGGGAGGCCTCTTGGAGGTCTCTTGGGCCGTCTTTGGAGCATCTTGGACCGTCTTGGGCCTATCGTTGGACATATTGGGGCCATCTTGGGCTGTCTTGGCCTCCTGAGCCTCTCTTCGAAGCCTCTTCGGGCAATCTTGGAGGCCTCTCGGGCCGTTCTGGCCGCGCGGTGGCGTCGCCATGGGAATCTTGGGGTGGCCTGGAGCCGCCAGTGTTTGAGGTTCCCCCCCCCTCGTTGGCTGTTTGGTGGCGCGGCGGGGCCCCTTAGCAGACATGTAGCTGGATTGATGATATTATTGGTTCCTCGCGAGCCAAGAGGACCTACGAACATAGCTCCTGTCCTGTCATGCTAAACTGACTCCTGCACAGGGGGGTCTCCGACCCCAGCAAATACAATGCACAACACGCCCCCTTGGAAGCTCGGCGTGTGTCTCTAGGGTCGAGCTTTCAACCGACTTTTGAGAAGGTAACTAGGCTGGGGCGTCCCCCAGGCAAAGTAAGTATGGCCATCAGCGCGCTATACCACAACGGGTCTGAGCATGCCAGGAAAACATTAATGAGACAAAGCATGACAGATGAAACGTGAGCTCAGCAAGCGTAGCCGCTCAAGGTCCTCACCCTGCGCCTCAGTACAAAAACAGTCCTCTAGCCTTGGCCTCACTCCCAGCATGCACCTCAAGGAAGGCACCGTGCATGCTGATCGACAATGGCTGGAAACGTGGAGTAGCCCATCTCCACTTGTACGTTGTCTGCGATTGAGTGCCAACCGTCCTCCTCGTGCGGTTGCTCTGGTCCACTGTCGACTTGGTCGACGTGGATAACATGCAGCCAATGCCTGAGTCGATCTTCTTGTCCTTCGCGTCATCGGGCTCGGCTTGGACGAGGAGCCACTCCTGCTCCCCCCAGCTGGCGTAGCGGAACCCCGCGTAGCCGAAGACGATGGCCACGACCAGCGTCCAGACGACCAGCACCAGCCAGTAACTCGTCCAGTCGCTCGCGACCACGCCGTCCGTGGAGCAAACCTCCGTGTCGTAGTAGCCGTCGTACCCAGTGGCGGGTCCTTCGCACCCTTGGAGGAGCGCTACCGCCGCCGTGATCATCGCCAGGGCCGCTGAGCGGGTCGCACTCGGTGAAGCGGCCACGCCTGGGGCGCGCCGAACCCGAACCGCCGCCCCCACGTCGAATTCCACCTCGTCCGACTGGTGGTCGCTCTCCGCGACCTGGCCCATGTCCGTGTAGATGCCGCCTGAGCTTGACGAAGCGCTCGTACCCGAGGATCTTCGTACCCAGGTCGGCCTTGTTATCATCGGTGCCGACGGTCCCGAGGTCCATCAGCTTCCTCTTGATCGCCTGCTGGAGCCAAAGCACACGCGCCTCCAGGCTCCTGACCATGCCAACTCCTTCACGTTTGGCAATCCCTCGGGCCGCCGACGAGTCCGTCAGAAGAGTAGCCGCCACCGTGAAGCCCATGAACTCCAGGAGCGACTTGAAGTAGAGGAGATCTTCGGCGACTGCTATCGCCGCATCGTACTCTGCCACTCCTGAGCTAGTCGCCGCGATCGCCTGGCGCCTGCGGAAGGAGTGTATGGGGACGTTGTCGATCTCGATCTTGCCGCTCGACTGTGACCTCCTCGTCTGAAGGTCGCCTGCCCAGTCGCTGTCGCCGTAGCCCACCAGCTCGACGTTCGTGCCCTCCGTCGGTCTCGGAAGCCAGTTCACCGCGTCCCTCGTGCCCATCAGGTACCTGACCAGCCTCTTGAGTGCGGTGAAGGCACCGTCGGTGGGGCCTGACAGCATCCTTCCTAGCAGGCTCACCTCATACTGGCAGTCCGCCCTGTCCTGGGCGTAGTACGTCGGCGCCTCCACGCACGATCGGTAGATGCCAGCCTGAACGGGAGACAGGGCCGAGGTGCTCCCCATGAGCGCCTTGTGAGCTGGCACTCCTGGCGTGGGCGCCGTATTCGCGCTCCCGAGGTTGAGGGTCTCCACCACGTAGTCCAGGCACTTCGGGTTCGCCTTCAGCTCTGTCCCGTGCCCGAACCGCGCCCGCAACCTCTTCAGGTGTTCGTAAGTGGTGCCGTACTCGTGGATCTCGCCGCCGCTGAAGGTCACATGCTGGCCCAGCTCGTCACGGAAGCCCTCCAGCGCGCCCTTTGGTCCTGCCATGTGTAGGTCGTCCATGTGGAGCTCGACCACCACCCCAGTCTCTGAGCTGTAGAAGAACTGCGGGGCCATCTCGCACCTCGCCATACGCATCTCGCCCATGAGGATGCCTGCCATGTGCTCCACCCAGCCAGGCGCCGCCGTTCGCCTGCCAGGCAGCTGTCTCTTCAACTTCCAGTAGATGTCCGTGCTCTTGCCCTCTGTCTGCAGCCTGTCGGGGTACTCCTGCGGTGGATCCACCACCACATCCTCGTGCTCGGGCGCCTGGTAGAAGGCGTCCGTCGCGTCTAGCGCCATCGCCTCGAAGCCGCGCTTGAGAGGCATGAAGTCGATGAGCCCGTTGGAGATCGGAGCCGATCCTGGCGTGAACAGGTCGTCGCGCCACTCCTGCCAGCGGAACCCGCGGCAGACGAATCTCACCTTGCGCTGCCACTCCTGTCGCGCAGGCTTCCACCTCCACTGCTTTTCCCAGCAGGTGGTGATGTGCTTCATTCCCCTTGCCTCCGACTTGGGGGTGTCCTCGCCGACGCCGTGGTCCAGGAGGCTCTGCAGGTGCTCGAGCGTGAGCTTCTTGTCCAGCTCAACCTGAGCGTCCACGTCGAACATGTCCTCGGTCTGGTCCTCGACCTCATCCGAGATCTCCTCCCAGAACGCGTCGGGCGGGTCGTCTATGCTGCCGACGTCCAGCTCGTGGACCGCCGCAACCCGCGCTCGTTTGCTCTCTGAGGCCTCCGCCTCAGGCGGCAGCCCGCGCCTCTCCGCCTGTGGCGGGGGCGCCCCCATGACCACATATCCTGGCGCTGGCTGCGCTGGCCGCTGGGGCTGCGGCTGTGGCTGCGGCTGTCCTGCCGCCACCGCTGGGCCTGGGGCCTGCGGTGGGGCCTGGGGCTGAGCAGGGTCCGCTCGGCCCTCGGGTGGCCCTGCCGACGGTGGCGCCTGCTGCTGCTGCTGCTGCTGATCCGCCCTCGGGATCTCTGTCGCCACGGGCGGGGCTGCCCGTGGTCGCCTCGACCTCTCGGGCGCCGCCCCGGTCGCCCACGGGAGGCCCGTCGCCGACAGCAGGAGGTCCTTGTCGGTCGGTCTGCCCTCAGGGAGCCGTCGCGCGGTCCGAGCTCGATCGACCCCTTGCGGAATCATCAGCAGATGCTCCTGGGACTCGTCAGATCTGCCAACCCAGATCCCACGGCTCCACTGCGCCTCCCCGCGGTGCAGCCGCCGTCCTCCACCGAGTCCTCGATGCTTCGGTCGAGCTATTCGATACAGCACCGTCTCACCGAAGGTGCAGATGTCGCCTTTGTAGGGCGTGCCCGTCGCTATCTCATGTGGAGTCTGCCCTCCAACTCGTCGTGAATACCGCTCGTGTAGCCACCCAGCATGACGCACCATCCAGGCCCAGATCGGCATGGCCGCCGTGATCTTGGTGCCGTAGCGCTTCGCTTTTCGAGATCCAACCTGAGGGCCCGCGTCTGGCCCTCAGCGATCTTCACTGCCGCCTCCGCTGGGTTGGACTGGCTGCTGTGCTTGGGCGTCAACTCTGGAATGACCTTGCCCGTCAGCTCTGCGACTACCCCGTCCAGGATCGCCTTCGTTGCAGGTTCAGAGTCGGTCCTGAGTCTGCACTTGCCCGTCTCGAGCCGCTGAGCGAAATGCTGGATGCCTGCGATCGCGTACGGTGATGCCGACTTCGATGGGCATGGGGTGACCTTCACCACTCCAGCGTCCGAGCTGAACGCCACGAGCATCGTCGCATAGGTGTCCTCGACCTTCGTCAGGTAGCCGTCCTCATCAGCTGTCTTGCAGAACCCAAAGTCGAAGCTGATGAGCGGCGCCTTCCGCTCGGAGTCCTCGAGCGTGACCTGTGTGCGTGTGTGGAGCATCGGGCGTCTTACCGCGGATGCACTCCTCACACCAGGGCGCGGTCGGCAGATGGGTGAGGCGATGCTGCCTCTCCTCTTCAGCCCTCGGAGCCTTCGGCACGGGTAGCTCCCTAGCATCGACTGGGTCGTGCTGGATCCCGAGCTGCTCCTTGACTGCCTGCTTGTGCCGCTCTGCCGCACCGCGGCAGTGGTGAGCCTCGGCTGCGGGGCCCGCCGCGACAATCGGGAGCCTGAGGCTGTTCCTCTCCAGCGTGAGCTGCAAGCTGCGATGGCCCTTCGTCATGTAGAGCCCGTCCTCCAGGCTGAGGTTGAACCTGAAGCCCTGCCTGAGCAGCTTCCCCATGCTCAGCAGATCATCGCTCACGTCGGCGACGAGGAAGTCCGCTGTCGCCGTGATGCCCTCCTTCAAGGTCATCTCTACTCCCCTCAGGCCTGCCGTCGGTAGTGGGCGCTGCTGCACGTCGAAGAGCCTCGGCGCGTCCACCGCAGCGCTGATGGGAGCCTCTGGGACAAATCTGTGCCTGCAGAGATGGTCATCGCTGCCGCTGTCGATCAGGATGGAGCCGCCAACCTTCGCCACCCGGCCATTCGGCTGTGCCGTGACCGCGAACACCCAGCCACCGGGCTTGCCGTCAAAGTAGCCCGACGCCGCCTTCACCGTGCCATCCGCTGGTTGCTGGGCCGATGACGAAGCTGCGTCGCCTTGAACAGCTCGTGTGTGACCTGGCTCCTTCTTCGGTCATCGGCCTTCTTCTTCCTGCAGTCCGCCCGCTTGTGGCCCCACTTGCCGCAGTAACCGCGCTCGCCGTCGAAGTACTCCGTCTGGTTCTTGGCGTGCTTGCCGCCATCACGACCCTTAGACTTGGTCTTTGAGTCCTTGCCCTTCTGGTATCTGCCCGACTTCCCGCCTGACTTGTCGGACTTGTACGTCTTGCCTTTGCCGTTGGCCTTGCCATTGGGCAGCTGGGCACGGACTGCATCCACCTGCATCGGGACAACCCCGCCCACGTCTGGGACGTGAGTACAAGTCCTGCCCTGGTTGTAGTAGCCCCTGATGTGACTGCGAGCTGCGGCGAACGTGAGCTTCACCTCCTCTGGGGCCTGTCGGAGCACCTCTCGATATGGATCTGGCGCGTGCTCCAGCAGCACGCTCACCCTGACATTGTCAGGCGCTCGTCGAGCTGGTCGTTCAGCAGCGGGTCCTGCCTCTGGCCCGCCGCAGTCATGAATTCCTCGAAGCCGAGCAGCGCGGTGTAGGCCTCGAACCTGAGACTCCAGTCTCCCCACTTCTCGTCCGTGCCGTCGAACCGCTGTAACCGCATGTCGGTCCGCACGTCGACCACCTCGATCGCCGCCATCGCTGCTGACCAGCAGCCCTCTCGGGCGGGGAGGTCGCGTGGCGCGCGGGCTCAGCTCCCGTGGCGTGGGATCCGAGCTCCGCTACCATGTAGCTGGACTGATGATCTTATTGTTCCTCGCGAGCTTAGAGGACCTACGAACATAGCTCCTGTCCTGTCATGCTAAACTGACTTCTGCACAGCGGGGTCTCCGACCCCAGCAAATACAATGCACAACAACACAGCTAACAGGAGGCAGGAAACGGGACTGGAGAGACAAAAGGCCAAACAACGAATAATAACACATATTACATGTCAGCAGACCGCACACACTTTGGCAGCCTTGCGCCCCCGGAGGGGGCCGGCGTATATGTGTCCTAAGAGTTTGTTGTCGGAGGAATGTGTTGCGACTACTTGCGGCTACGTACCAATGAATAAGACACCCAACATCCAAGTTATAAGAGCTCAGCTGGAAACAAACCTAATAGCCAACGCCAACAAGACAACCCAACGTACAAGAAACTCAATTGTTTGATGTTCTCTTGGGAGACTCATTGTGAGCTTGACGTTTGCGGCTGGCTGCATTTCCCTCCATTTCAGTCGTCAGTTTTGCATTTGAGCAGTCAGAAAGAGCTTGGCGTGGAGATCAAGAAGAACATTTGGACGTGTTTAGTGGATTTTCGTGTTGGTTTGATGTTCGTTGTCATCGGGCTCCCGGTAGTTTGTTGAGTTGTTTGTGGGGGGTGGTCACGTAGCGCACTGGGCAGTGACCCAAAGGGCGCCTCAATTGATTTCGTCGCGCACCGCTCACCCCGCCCCACCTGCTCCGGTAGCAAATCCTGGGAGCTTTGTATGCCTCCGTAATTCCGTCTTTGGAATGTATTAGCGTGCGCTGGCGTCTGGTACTCGCTGAGAAAGTGCTGATGTAGCGTTGATTAACGTCGGTCCGCAGGGGCCAACAACATGGTATGGTAGGATCCTATGGGTTGCCGCAGGGCCGTTCCGCCTGCTCCAGCAGTCTGGCGCTCGGTGCCAGAGCCAGTTGCCGTCGCCCTGCGCTTGTTATGGCGCCGCGATTGTAGGACGGAAGGTCTCACCAGCCCCCGGCTCGCAGACGTGAGTGCGGTCACGGCCCCTGCAAAAAAAGAGTGCGCCACGAGTGGCGAACATATTCCGTGTCCGCGCTCTCGCGGTCTGGATTTTGGGGCGCGATCCCTCGGGTACGCGGTCCCACGGATAGGGCCCGCGCAGGGCATCCGCGACAAAAAAACATTCCGTATCCGCGCGTCTGCGGCCCAGGGGCCCAGCCCGCGAGGCCGCGGATAAGGATATGTGTTTTGCCTACGATTTTGGCCTGGCTCCTCAAGCATTTCAGATGCATGTGTTCACTCTTTCGTTTTTGAGTATTCATTTGGTGTGGCGCGCGCGCGTGCATGCGGTGTGCGCAAAATATGTTCTTGTCCCTAGCCCTCCCAGGTGGGGTCACAGTAGATGGGGTCGGAGGATCGCGCCACATCGGCGCTGCATCGACGATGCGGCTCGATGTTGAGCGCGGTTTTCTCCACGCCGGCGACGCCGATGCACCGCCGCGCGTCGCCGCGATTATTTGACCGCATCTAATCGGACCCCAGCTAGAAGGCCACTGCCGGGTTTCTCGCTTGTGTTGGTCCACGAATGTAGCTGATGACGTTTGGTATCCTGCTCTCCCGCCGCTGCCTGCTGCCTCTGTGTGCCCCAGGGCCCCCTCATACTTGGCCTTCTACTGCGCCCCGCTATACCGAAGCGCACCCTGGCTCCAGAGCCTGCATTGCTTGGCACGCTCCTGTTCCGAGTACTCACCTGGTGTGGCGCGCGCGCGCGGCGTGTGCCCCAGGGCCCCCTCATACTTGGCCTTCTGCCGCGCCCCGCTAGACCGAAGCGCACCCTGGCTCCAGAGCCTGCATTGCTTGGCACGCTCCTGTTCCGAGCACTCACCTGGCAGGGCGCGCGCGCGGCGCGCGCCACGTGCACACCGCTGTAGCGACGTGGCCTCGAGGAGGGGGAGGAGGAGGAGGAGGAGGAGGAGGAGGAGGAGGAGGAGGAGGAGGGGAGGAGAGGAGGAGGAGGAGGAGGAGGGGGAGGAGGAGGGAGGAGGAGGAGGAGGAGGAGGAGGAGGAGGAGGAGGAGGAGGAGGAGGAGGAGGAGGCGCGCGCGCGGCGCGCGCCACGTGCACACCGCTGTATAGCGACGTGGCGAGAAGAGGCGCCCGCAGAGCACTCGCCCCGGGGCGCGGGAGACCGCGCGGTGGGGACGGGTGGGGACCAGGGCGAGTGCGCTGTGGCCGCGCCTCGAGGAGGGGCAGGAAGAGGAGGAGGAGGAGGAGGAGGAGGAGGAGGAGGAGGAGGAGGGGGAGCAGGGGGGGGAGGAGGAGGAGCCCCACGCCGCCGCCCTCGGCGGACTGCCGGCGGCCTCCCGCGGACTCCGGGCGGACTCCGGCGGAGTTCTCGCCATGGCTCGGGCGTCCACTCGCCCTCTCCTGTCCTCCTGCCCTCCCTCCTCCCTCCTCCCCCTCCTCCTGTCCTCCTGCCCCTCTCCTCCTGTCCTCCTGCCCCTCTCCTCCTGTCCTCCTCCTGTCCTCCTGCCCCTCTCCTCCTGCCCCCTCCTCCTGTCCTCCTGTCCTCCTCCCTCCTCCCTCCTCCCCTCCACGCCCTCTCCTGTCCTCCTGCCCCTCTCCTGTCCTCCTGCCCTCCCGCATTGCTCCTCCCTCCTCTGACTCGATCCCCGCAACTTCGATCCCGGCAACCTTCCCGTGGATAAGTTCGGCCTCCGCGCCCCTCTCCACAATCAAGTCCTGTTGGACGGGGGTAAAGAAATAGAGCGGGGAAAAGGGGGTTTGTCACTTTATTATCGCCTTCGCTCGGTTACCTCGTTTTCCCTACTGAGCCCTCTGCTGCGCCCCGCCATACAGAAGCGCACCCTGGTTCCAGAGCCTGGGCTCGCAGCGCGCCGCCCTCGGCGCTGCCGAGCCCACGCGGAGGGGTGTCGGCTCCTCCCTCCTGCAGCACCGTGGTGCCACCTGCTCTTGCCGCACGCGCTGGTCCGCGTTTGTAGTCGATGACCCAGTTTTAGGGGAACGAAGAATGACATAAACATAAAAACTCAGAGGTCCGCGCGGATTTCTCGGATCGGCGCTGGGGCCCCCTGGCGGCGCCTCCGGCGCCGCCCTTGGCGCGCTCCGCGCGCCAGGGAGGGGGGTCCAGCGCGGATCCAAGAAATCCACGCGGACCTCCGAGTTTTTATGTTTATGTCATTCTCCGTTCCCCTAAGCTTGCTGCCACTGCCGGCTCTTCTCGCCCGCGCTGGCCCGCGCGCGCAGTTGGTGGCAGATGGTACCCAGCGCTATCGCCGCTGCCTGACGCCACTGTCGGCACTTCTCCTGTCGCTTGCCTTGCCGCCAGAGCACCTCTTGACGAGCATCCTCCGACCCTCGAGCTCCGTGTCGGCGAGGGTGGCGATTGCTTGCTGGACTTCCGCTTCGGTGGAGACGCGCACGCACCCAGCTCCCATCGACCAGCCGTAGTCGGTGCCGTCCTCGGTGGGCACGCTGCAGAATTCCCTGGTACCCGCCTGTGTCGTATGGTCCTCCAGGTCGTGCCAGGGCACGTGGATGTAGGCAAGGTTCTCACTGTGCACGTGGTTGCTTGGACCGAAGCACGTGCCGAGCCCCTCGCCGCCGCCGCAATCGCCTTGGCTTCTAGGCCGCCAAATGGGGTCGAAGTAGATGGGTTCGGAGGATAGCGCCGCATCGGAGATGCATCGGAGACGCATCGGCGATGCCGCTCGATGCGGAGCCCGATTTTCTCCACACCGGCGGCGCCAAAGCATAGAGGACGTCGCCGACGCATCGCCGATGTGTTGGCGATGAATTGGAGATGTGGCGAGATCCTCCGACCCCAGCTACTCGGACCAAATTTGGGAGGCCTTTACTGTTGCAGCCACCCTGACGCCTCTTGAGGGAGGCCTCGCCAGGCTGCTTGGCCGTATAAGAAGCCTCCCGATCTTCCTCGCTCCTTTCCGACACGCGGCGTTCCTGCTCCTCAGCGGGCTCCTCGTCACTCTCCCCGTGCTCCTCCACGATCGCGCCGCAGTCGATCATCTCGTCGTACCTTCTCCTCCTCGATCGAGAATCTGGCGTCCAGTTGGTCCCTGGGATGTGGTGGGTTTCCCCGAGATGTATCAATCATGCTGCGCCACGCAGGGCGTAGCGTGATTAGATTTCCCCGAGGTGTCAAGAGCTTTGGTACTGTCAGAATACTTTGTTTGTCCGCCAACAGGAGCCTGAGAAGGTCACGGTGGCCTGACTTGGCCGTCAACTCGCAGGCGCACATGACATACCATTCCCGACCATCGCAGTGGACAGAATGATTTGTGGATCGGCAGCGTGATCGCCGAGTTTCAAATCGAAAGGAAGGCGCACATGACGTGCCAGTATCGTCCTTCAGTCCTCCGCGCCGTCCGCAGCCATCGGGTGACCTGCTCGGCGCTGGCGTTTTCGAGCGCCTCTCGCAGGAGGTCAGGATCTCCGTCGCGCTCCAGCTGTTCTCGCACGCGCTGGTCCGCGCATGTAGCCGATGACGTCCGGCGCCCCGCTCCCTCACCTGCACCTTTGCTTGCCGCCACTGCCAGGCTTCTCGCTTGAGTTGGTCCACGCATGCGCATGCAGCTGATGACGTCTGGTATCCTGCTCTCCCGCTGCTGCGTGCTGCCTTTGTCAGGCTTTGGTGCCCACGGGTGCACGCCTGTCGCTGATGACAGCAGGCATCTAGTTTTAACACCGCTGCTTGCTGCCACTGCCAGGTCTTCTCGCAGGCACTGGGCTACGAATCTGGTTGATGACGTTTGGTAATCGGCTCTCTCACCATCGCCTGGTGCCGGTGCCTGCTCTTCACGAACACGCTAGTTTGCTGCCACTGCCAGGTCGTCTCGCACACGCTTGTCCACGCAAGTGTAGCCGAAGATGGCTGGTATCCAACACCCTCGCTGCTGCCTGCTGCCACTGCCGGGTCTTCTCGCAGGCACCTGACCACGAATGTAGTTGACGATGTCTGGTATCCAGCGCCCTCACCACTGCCGGTTGCCGCTGCTGGCTCCTCCCGCACGCGCTGGTTCACGCATGCAGTCGATGACGTTTGGTAGCCAGTCCACTCACCGATGCTTACTGTCACTGCCAGCTCCTCTCGCACACGCCGGACCGCGTATGTAGCTTATGATGTCTGGTATCTTTTGTCACTTCAGCCTGTTGCCCCGCCTCTCCTCGCACGTGCTGTTGCCCGCCTGTAACTGATGACGTCTGGACAACGGGTATCCCTCCACTGACTGTAGGCATTTGTCGCACGCGCTGGACCCCGCATGTAGCTGATAACTACTTGACTCCAGGTTTCTTCCCGCTGCCTGCCGCCAATGCAAGCTCTTCTCGCATGCGCTGGTCCACGAACATAGCTAATGATGCCTGGTGTCCAGCTCTCACAACGCCGCTTGGTGCTGCTGCCTGTTTTTTCACTGCGCACACTGGACCACGCCTCGACGAGCCGGGCTGGCCGGGCCCAGAAGCTGGCATCTGTGATATTGATCGGATGCGCACACAGAGAGAGAGCGCACATCATGGCCATTGCACCCTTCAGGCAGCAGCGGCGGGGCCAGCGGGTTGGTGCCGTTACCCCCTTGAGCCCCAATGGCTACGGACTCGGCCTTCTCCTCCTTCTCCTCCTCATCCCCCTCCTCCTCCGTAGCCATTGTGGCTCAAGCCATCCCAAGCGCATTCGTACTCCTTTCCTCATGGCCTCGTGCGTCAGTGCACTGGTTCTCGCGCTCGTGACCCCAGGTGTCTGCTGGACGCCTCTCGCGGATGGGCTGCGTGAATTCCTTTTCTGATCGTGCCATATGGTAATGTCTCTCCACGTTGCCTTCGGCGCGCTGCGCTCAGAATCTTCGGAAATCGCCACAGACTATCAGCGAGGATCAGGAGGGGAAAAAACACACACAATTAATCGTCGGTTCCCCCGAAAATATTGGACAATATGGGAAGTGGGGGGAAAGACAACAAAATTATAAAATATGGGAACATATGGGGAATCTTTTGTTTTAGATGTGTGTGTATTTGTTTGTGTGTCCCAGGGCCCCTTCAGAGGACCTCTTGAGCTTTTCAGGCTGCGTGTGCCGTGCTGCTGCACCTGCAGGACGGCCAGCGTGGGATGGCGGCTGCGGTCGAGCCCTTCCTTGCATTGATTCCAGGCTTGGCGACGTACTTCGGGCTCTACTCCTTCAGCATGCCCTCGAAGTTGTCCTTGGCGTGCCTCGCCGGCAGTCGCTCGAGGCAATGATCGAGTGGGCGGCTACACATCGAACAGGGGCTGCTGATGTCCACAGGGCGACGTTGAACCTATGCGCGAAGGGAAATGCGGCGAGACACCGACAGTGGACATGCAAGACAAGCTGTTCGAAGATGCGGGCGACTTCACAGTGCTTCCACCCTATCTCGGCTGATGACCACGAGTTCTTGGCATCCTTTGGGCTATTGCCAGGCGATCCTTCAGTAGCAGGCGATGTGGATGTTGTGCGGGATGCTCTCGGGCCTTCTCCAGATGCGGAGTTTGTTGTGTTCACGTTCAATCGTGCTGCCAGTGAGTTTCGTCCTGCGCTTAGTGAACACAGCGGCGCAGATACTTGGGATGGTGCTGGTACACCTCGACTTCCTTCTCCTCCGACTGCTAACCCTGTTTGCAGCGTGCAGGGCCTGAGGTGTTTCGTGGGGACTGGTGTTCATCTTGGGAGGACTGGCGACCTGGACTGGGCTTTTGCAGAGGGCTTCGGCATGGAGTGGCAACTGGACTCGGCAGATCGGCCGAAGGATGACGCACAGGAGAAGATACTCGACATGATTCACTTCGAATATGGAGATACAACTGTGGAACCTGCTTCTCGTGAGCCAGATGTGCGTGATGAGCCACATCGTCGGGCGGACCCTGATCCTTGGCTTAGTGGGAGTGTGCAGGATATCCGTGTGGGTCAGGATCCTGATCTACATGTATGATGTTCCAACCTGCTTGAACCAGGACCACCAGAAAGAATTTTGAGCACCATCATAATACCAACCATCGAGGGTTTTCACGTGTCGGGCCATGGGAGACATTCGTCCGACACTGTGTCGACACTGCTTCGACACTTGTTCGGGTGCTCGAAATCATTTCTGGGATGTGGTCCTTAAGCACGATGGGAGCAGCGTAAACCTGCATGTGGAGCCTGACCTTCGTATGCAGCCTGGGTTGTCCAAGGGTGCGAGACGGAGGGCACGCAGAGGAGCTCTGATGGTCCTCGTGCGGAGCCTGATCTTCGCACACCTCGCGGTCGCGGGGAGCTTGCCCGCAGGGTGCAGTTGTACCGTCGCGAGGAACGTATTCTTCGAGGGGGGCCTTGTCTTCATGCGGAGAATGTTCATCGTGCGGAGTCTGATCTTCGAGTGGAGCCTGACGCACAGGAGGAGGTGATCGACAACATGCTTCACGAATGTGGAGATTTCTCTGTCTGAGCTTTGTGTGGGGCCCGATCTTCGTGAGGGACCTGATCTTCATGTGGGGCCTGATCTTCGTGTCGAGCCCAATCTTCGTGCGGAGCGTGTCCTTCGTGTGGAGCCTGATCTTCGTGCGGGCCTCAGTGTGGAGCATGATCGCCGTGTGGAGCCTGATCTTCATGTTGCTCGTGAGAGGCGTGCTCGTTGAGTGCAGCTCCAGCTCGGCCTACTTGAGGAACTTGTTCTTCGAGAGGGGCCAGATCTTCGTGTGGAGTCTTCTCTCTGTTTCGATGCAGGTCTTCGTGTGGGGCCTGATCGTCGCGTGGAGCCTACTCTTCGTGTGGGGCGCGATCTTGGCGCGGGTCTCCGTGTGGAGCCTGGTCTTCGCGCGGAGCCGGCGACCACGACCAAGAGTGAAGGGGGGCGAGCGTCTCGAACTCAGGAGGGAAAAAAAACACAGACACAGTTAATCGTCGATTCCCTAGAAAATATGGGGAAATATGGGAAGTGGGGGGGAAGACAAAAACCCATAAAAATACTTGAAAATATGCGGCATAGTTTTTTATATGTGTGTCTTTGTTTGTGTGCCCCAGGGCCCCTTCGCGAAAAGATTGGGCTGGCGAGCGCGCTGATGTCCGACTTCTGCGGGGTGGTGCTCCTCGAGGGGGCGGTCGCGACCACCCTCCTCCCCCTCCTCCTCCCCCTCCTCCTCCTCCTCCTCCTCCTCCTCCCCCCTCCTCCTCCCTCCTCCCCCCCTCCTCCCCCCTCCTCCTCCTCTCCTCCTCCTCCTCCTCCCTCCCCCCTCCTCCCCCCTCCTCCTCCTCCTCCTCCTCCTCCTCCCCCTCCTCCTCCTCCTCCTCCTCCTCCCCCTCCGGGCGGTCGCGACCATCCTGACTGCGGCGACCGCGGCGACCATCCCAGTGCTCTTCGCGTGGAGCCTGGTCCTCGTGAGGTAGGTGGTCGCGGTTGCCCTCGTGCTGGGGTGCTCAATCTATGTGCAAAATTTGAAAATTCGTTTTGAGAACCAGTATTTTTCTCACGTGTAGTGGGTTTTGCCGCGTCTGCCAGTTCAATTCTCAGGTCCTTAGCTGCAACATGACTATCAAAACACTTGCTGGAACCGATGGCCGTTTCGAGTCATTCGGTGGCTCCTGACAGGGTCTTCCTCGGGCGAGACCTCCAAAAAGGCCCCGCCACGTCGAGGGTGCTTACCCTTGCAAACACGGTACTTCCACCGCCCACCAAACCACCCCAACCCAACCCGAAGGCCCCAATTTGCCCTCCATTTCCGGTTGGGGGGGGTCGGGGAACGTTGAGAAAACACACATGGAGCCCGTACCCCCCCCACCCGAAATTCGGGTCTTCGGGTTGGGTTGGGGTGGTTTGGTAGGTAGTCAGGTACTTCCACCGCTCAGCATTATTTCCCGTCACGTCGAGGGTGCTTACGGTAGGTTTGCGTCGTGTCGACCAGCGGCGACCCCAGCGCGGACGTTCAAGGTTGAACGCCGCCAGCGACCCAGAATCGATCGATGTTGAACGATCGGACGTTGCGGCAGCGGCCGATCGTTCAAGGTTGAACGATCCCTGCGGTGTCAAAAACCAACGCTGGGGTCGGCACGACACGAACCTGCCGTACCCTTGCAAACACGGTACTTCCACCGCTCAGCATTATTTCTTCGCGGGGTGGGTGCATTTTTTCCCCGAGCGCGAGCGGGCCCAGGGTGGGCACCGCCCTACAGGAAGCGCAAGCGAAGAGCGGGGAACCATCACTGCACTGGAATGAGAGCAGCCTGTGTCCTGGAGCCCCGACGCTGTTGAGGCTGTCGGGGACCTTGCCGGAGCATCCAGAGGGGTCGGGGCAGGGCGAGGTTCCAAACCGGATCTCCGCCTGCCTCCGAATCCAAAGGCACACTCTGCAACGCCAGTAGGAACGACTCCATTCCCACTCATGCTGGTAACTGGCAGCCGCGGCCGACTGCTCTTTCTTAGGAGGTCTGGCCAGCTCGACGCCGCTGAGATCAAACCGAGGCCGCAACGGCAAGAGCTTGGCACCAAGTCGAATCACCGCCTTGGGCACCCGAATCTTATACGAGAGGTCATCCTGCAACTCGTTGGGAGCAGGAGGGTGGCTAGAGAGGCTGGCCTTCGCGGCAGCGTCGGCTGCGTCGTTGCCGCGCTTGTTGAAGACCTGCCGAGGTGTGAGATCGTCAGAGTCTCCGACGTGAGCTTTGACCTCGTCTACTGACTCCCACGGGGCGGCGAGGGAGGTGAACATCATGCCTGAGTACGGGCGCCTATAAGAGAGCTTCAACGCCCTGGGTTCTCCAAAAGCTCGGGCAACATTGAGGCAGTCCGAGTGCCCTCTCGAAGGGCCTGTGATACACGGGGAGGCCGCATCAAGTGCCCCTAACTCCCCCGACTGGTTGGTTTTTGGGGAGGGGGGGCCCACGTGGGGCCATAAACCGATGCCAGGAGGGCACCATAATCTGACAGGGCTGTAAACCCCCAGCTCGCTCGGGACAACTCCCCAATTTCGTGCAATCGACAACTGCCATCGGTGAACATATCACCTGAAACGTCGGTGTCTACTCTAGTGGCGTCACCTTCCCAGGGGACAACAACACCACCAGCGGCTCGGGGTCGGGGCCACAGGTCGCCAGGGCGAGGGAAGATGCCCTTGGTGAACAGAGCAACGCTGTCGGCACTCGCAGGGTCGAGGGAACGGGCTGCCTCCTGGATGAACGGGCTGCCTCATGGATGTCGCATTTCATCAGCTCGTCTCTCAACTCTTGGGCGCTGGAGCAGAGCCACACCCGATGCATGATAGAGTCGGGGGCGGCTCTGCACAGAGGGCACAAATCTGAACTCAACTGGTAACCGCAAGAGATGGCCCGATCACAAGACCAGGTGGCCCCGCAGCACATACCGCGGATGCAGCCCTTCTCGAGGGCCGTGAGTTTCGACGAGCGGAGAGTGGCCTCAACCACGCCGTAGCAAACTCTAGATTGCATTCCCAACGTGCGCCCAGATTTTCGCTGCAGCTGCCGCAGCACTCCATCCCGAAGGGCCTTTTTGACGAGGTCAGGGGGGAACATGGTAAGACCCAGGACCTCGCCGAAATCGTTGACTCACTCGGTGAAGGAACGCATGGACCACCCGATACGTTCCAAAGACAACTGCATGGCCACGTTGGGGCCTCGAACAGTGCGCCAAGTAAGTTTATCCCCTCGAACGTGACCTGGGCCCGCTGGTTGAAACATAGCTTCCCAATAAGATCGAAGGGCAGAAAACGAGAGAGGATGTTTGAAGATACGAATTGGATTTGTCCTCGCCGTTTTAGAATACCGAGTAACTGGAAGAACAGCGGCATGCCAGCAAGGGTCCCCTTCAGGATGAGGAGGGAGGTGAGGCTCCTCATGCCCGCGGATGGTTTCAAGACTCGCCCGAGGCCTCGACGAAGCCCAGCAAGTCCATAGTCCGAAACCTCGTGGACCTCGGAAGCGTGCGTGGCCCCTGCATGAGGCCCTGCTGAAAAGACCCTCTTGGACTGCCGCTGGCCCAAGACGGCGCGAACGCGCTTCAGCTTGGAGGCGCGAGTCTTGAAAGACTTGAGGCGCTGCTTGGCCTTGACACCGCGGGCCGCTTGCCGACGAGGCCGTCCTGCCGCGTCATCCACACCTAGGTTCAATGCCGTGCTCGTCCCAGGAGTAGAACCGCCTAAACCTTCAGGAAGACCCCGAACCTTGGCCCCCACGAATGCGATGAACACACAACGGAGGCTTTGTCGACGGACACGACACATGTAATATCGTCGGTGAGCACGGCATGAAGTTGTGTGGTGCCAGCGAGAATATCTGAAACTACCGTGCGCTCGCTGCCTGTGGCCTGCAACCCATAATCGTCGACACAGATGTCGAGGGAGTCTTTCACTGAGGGAGCGAGGAGGTCGATGCTAGGTACAATATAAGCCCGAACGAACGAAGCCGCGAACGAGCCCCCAGCAACCACTCTGCGCTTGGCGAAGAACGGCCCCTCAATCATACCCCCGGCGCTGACCCATCGAGGGCCCCGATACATCGCGATGGCGAGCCTCGAGATCTGACCTGGGAACCCGGGGGAATCACAGCGTCTGTGTGACTGGTTAAGGTCCAGCAGCTCGTGGAACTTGCATAGGTCCCAGAGCACTGAGCACGCAGCGCCTGGCCCTCGAGAGCCAGTGGCGAACTCCGACTTGACCGACTGGCGCCGGACCACGTCTTCAGCACCAGTGAGCGCGCCAGCCGCGAGGTACGGCCGAGCCAAGCCATTCTCCCAAGTGACAGCGCAGGAAGGCGACCATAGAGACTGATACGCTCACGAGAACAACCCTGCTGGCCTCCATCCACCCACCTGTTTGGGGAGAAGGGCGATCATGAGAGAGCGAACGTGGTGAGGAACGACCGATGTAGCCTCCATGATGCTGTACATAGACATGAGGACAACGAGGGCTCCGTCCGACATCGCGGCGTAGTGGCGCATGTGGAATCCATCCACACATGTTGATGTCCCCTTGGGGTATGACCTGGGGATCCTGCGAAGGACGTCTGGCGCCTCAAAAGAGGGGGAGGAGGAGGAGGAGGAGGAGGAGGAGGAGGAGGAGGAGGAGGAGGAGAAGGAGGAGCAGGATGATGAGGAGGAGGAGGATGAACAGGAGGAGGAGAAGGAGGAGGAGGAGGAGGAGGAGGAGGAGGAGGAGTGGAGTGGGGCAACCCAGAAGGCGGACCGTGTCAGGGCGCCATGGGCCAACCGTGGGAGCAGGAGTCGGCTCGAGCACTCATTGGCTCGAACCACCCCAGCGCCTTCATCACGGCTGGAGTCCGCGCGGGCTCGTCCAGACTCTGTGGTTCGAGGCGGCGAGGCTTACCGCGGAGACACGCAAAACGAGGGCTGCAGGCGTCTAGAGCCGATGCGCGCGACCAGAGTGCGAGGCGGCAAAAGCAAACATAACGCAGCGCTGCTAAAAGCGTTCTAACGATTTCGAGACCTCACCAATACACGCCGCTCTCGGTCGTGCCGCCCCGATACGCCACCCGAGGGGCACCACTCCCTCGGGGACAACCCGCCCCCACTCACGCCACGGCGGGGGACCGTGACCGTGGGAGGAATGGGCGGGGATCCTCCAATGAGCCCCCCCCCGCACAGGGGACCCGCGACACCACCCGAACCCTGGCAGAGTACCAGGTGGGCCACCGCAAGGGTGTCGCAGCAAAGCGTGGCATAAACCCACAACCCAGGCACGGGAACACGACGGAAGGAAAGGCCGCGCATTGGGACTTTGGACTATCCCCGCCCGCCGCATTGGCGAGTCGGGAACAGCCTTGAGGCCCCGGCACGACGCTTCCTCCGTGGCGCAGGTTGGGACGGCCTACGTCTACCTTTTTTCTCTCCCCCAGGGTCCCGAAGGAGCACTCGGGGTGACGAACGGGAGGCTACCCGCACGTTGTCCTGGGGAGGGATCCCAGTGGCACGGGTGCCGAGGAGGAGGAGGAGGAGGACGAGGACGAGGAGGAGGAGGAGGAGGAGGAAGGAGGAAGGAGGGAGGAGGAGGAGGAGGAAGAGGAGGAGGAGGAGGAGGAGGAGGAGGAGGAGGAGTTGGAGGAGGAGGAGGAGGAGGGGGAGGAGGAGAAGGAGGAGCAGGAGGAGGAGGAGGAGCAGGAGGAGGAGGAGGAGGAACACCCACCCCTCTCCGCCCCCTCCCCCCCGCCGCGCCCCCCGCGGCGCGCGGGCAGGATCGCCGCAGCCGCCCCCGAAGGGGCGGCGCGGCGCCTCGAGGCCTTGGCCGACTCTCTGCGCGCGCGGGGGGCCGCCGCCCGATGCTCCAGCGCCGGTGCCCTCGCCGCTTCGGCTCCCCCCACCTCGCCCGCTCGCTCGCCTCGCCCTCGTCCTGCTCTAAGGCTCCTCGTCGCCTTCCTCCTCCTCCTCCACCAGCCCGTCCTGCTCCTCCTCCTCCTCCTCCTCCTCCTCCTCCTCCTCCACCAGCCCGTCCTGCTCCTCCTCCTCCTGCTCCTGCTCCTCGTTCCGCGGCCCGTTTCTGTTTCGATCCTCCCGCCGCGTCCTGCTCGTCCTCGTCTTGTTCCTCCTCGTCCTCACGCCCCTCCTGTGCCATGTCCTCTGCGCTGCTCCTGCTCCGTATCCTCCTCCTTCCCTCCCTCCTCCCTCCTCAACCTTCTCCGCAATTCGTCCTCGTTTCGCTTTTCCTCTGCCATCCTCATCCCTCGCTCTTGCCTCCTGCCCCGCCCTCCTTCCCCGCCCTCCTCTCTCGTCATTCCTCTTCTCACCTCGTGTTAATGCTCGTGCTACGCTGGGGATGATTTTGGCGAATGTTTAATTAGTTGGAGTATGTACTGGGACCGCCCCCCCTGGCACGCGCGTCGAAGCCGCAGTGGGTTTAAACAAATACACAGAGCACTGGCCCGAATCTGACCCCCCCCCGCATCCCCAGTTCGGCTTCATATCGGAGCCCGTGGAAACCTCGCGAACCCCCACAAGGATCAACTGGTCAGGTTTGGGCAGCAACGCCGCCCGCTCTTCTCCACTATTCTCTCGCTTTGCTCTCTCCACAATCTTCATGGTAGCAGGATCTCCCCCAGTGTGACTGACTACTGCCGCAGGGGACGGCTACAGGGTGCTTGCGCCCCATCAGTTTCATAGCAGAAAAGGCAGAGCGGCCGCCGAAGCCTAAACTTGCGTTGAAAGCCGAGCCAGATCGAACGTCGGCGAAGATACTTTCAGGCCAGGCTGAAGAAACAGCAGTTCATCTGAAACCTGTCCAGCTGAAGCGATGTCAGGAGCATCTATTACAGCTCTATGGGCAATTGTTACAGGCCAAGCTAAAGCGACCAAAGCCATTTGGCTCGGATCGGCGGCGACGCAGCGCATGGTTCGGCCGCACGTGGGCGAGCACCTCGCTGCAAGGCAGGCTCTGCAGTGCCGCCAGTGCTGCCGCCGCCACATCATCATCACCACCACTATCAGGCTTCGCCAGCAGTATTAAGAACTAAGACCACACGCGCAGAGTAGATACCACTAGCCACATTCACTGATTGTGCACCACTGCGACCTCGGTCACCACGGGCCCTTGCATCCGGTACAAGTCCTTTCTTTTCCCGACCCTGCTTCTGAATGTACAGAAGATTTGGAAGAGCATCTATAGCTATCACCTTTTGTTGTGATGCACGTGATGCCATAATTCTGTCGCTTCAGAAATACCCCAGTGGGCTGCTGCTGCCCAGTGGGTAAAGTAAATGAGCATGGGTGGCGGAGGAGGATGGCGGGGATGAGAAGGACAAGTACACAGGAAGGAGACAACGTCCAAGAAAGCCAGGATAACAAAGAGGAGGAGGAGGAGGAGGAGGAGGAGGAGGAGGTGAACGAGGAGGAGGAGGAGGAGGAGGAGGAGGAGGATTAGCAAACGCGCTACAGGCTAAGGAATGAGGCGGCCACTGGAGAACTGCTTGAAAGTGTTGCGGCTGCAAGGAGGTTTAATCAAGTAGTTTGCCGACAGTAGGCGACATCCTCAGCGAGACGGTTATGACATAATATTGGGAAGGCATTGCGGCGGGTGCCGCCGACCGTGAATGTGGGACGACGACGACAGCAGCGGCGGCGACAACGACGACGACGCCGACGCTCTGGAGCCCTTGCTGGGGCTCACTTCGGAGCCTTTTGGGCTCTGTTGGGGGTCCTCTTAGGGGCCTTTGGGAAGCTCCGTGGCCTCTTGTGGAGCCGCCTCGTAGTGGTTCTGAGGGCTCTTGGAGGCATGTGGGAAAGTACGCAGCTGCGCAACAGCAGATAAGAGTGAGTGGGGTGCCTCTGGGGGGGGATCCGGGAGGAGGGGCAGGCCACATCATTCACGCGGCATCTGTGACGTTGTATTCCATGCCACTGGCTGAAGCTGCAGATCCCTTCTCATCCGTTCCAGTGGCCGTGATGGAGCTAGCCCAATGGGGGACATTTCTCATGCACCGTAGGCCCGGCCCTGGGGCCCAGGGGGGGCCGCGGGCCCCCGGGGGCACGGAGTATATGCAGAGAAATTCCCCCTCCCGCCCCTGGGGCCTGGGCCTCCCCGGATGCTGCTCCGGGCTCCCTCCCTCGGCTCTGGGGCCCTCCAAGTCTCCCAGTGACTCCCAAGATGTCCCGAGAAGGCTGCAAGAGGACTCCAGGCTGGCTCCAGACAGCGCAAGAGGCCCCCATCGCCATTTCCAGAGGGGCCCGAGAGGACCCCCAAGGGGGGCCCCAGAAGGCAGACGCTTTTTGATTTCCAACGCAGCTCTTGCATGTTTTTGCGTTTTCGTTTTCTCCGCCTTCCGACCACCCCAGACGGCTCAAGAGGCTTCCAAGATCGCCCCACGACGGCCCAGGAGGACTCCCAGTCGGCTTGCGACCGCCCCAGGGGGTCCCCAAGATGCCCCGAGAGGGGCCCAGAGGGGGGAGGGCGCTGGGAGCCCTCCCCCTCAAGACGGTCCCCAAGGCTCCCAAACATGCCCCGAAAAGGGGCCCCAAACAGGCTCCAAGAAGTACCCAGAGGCCCCGAAGTGTACCCCCAGAGGCCCTTCTGGCTTCCCACGGGTCCTCCCCGACCCCCACAGAGCTCCCAGACGCCAGGCTGGGGCTCTTTGGAGGGCAAGGGGGGTACAGCAAGGAGAAGGGAGCGGCATTACCCCTCGCCCTATTCGCGCCTTCGGCGACGAACGCCCACGGATCTCGTTCATTCGGGCACGGTCCCTCTACCCCGCGCTTCACGCTAGACTCCAGGACACGTAGAACGTGAGAGCGCACGAACGGCGCGCGATGGTCCGAGTGTGTAAACATATGTGGGTTGTACATTTTTTTGTGTACGTGTATGTGTGTGTGTGTGTGTATATATATATATATATATATATATATATATACTTGGGGGCGAGGCCGGGGGCCCCAGGACAGGTGCCCCGACCCCCCATGGCGGGACGGGGGGGGCCTGGAGCCTCCCTGGAGCAGCCCAGGCGGCCCAAGAGTGCCCCAAGAGCGCTCCACGACAGGCCCAGCAGGCTCCAAGAGGCCCAAGAGGGCGCCAAGAGGGCCCCAAGATGCCCAAGATAAGCCCAAGACGGCCAAAGAGGCCCCCAAGACGCTCCAAGAGGCCTCCAAGAGGCCCCTCCAGAGGGCCCCAAGAGGCCAAAATCGTTAATTTTACAACGGTTTTGAACGCATTCTGCCTTTCCCGCCTTTTCAGCTTTCCGACGCTCCACGACGGCTCAAAGGCCCCCCGCGGACGCCCCAAGACAGCCCAAGAGGCCTCCAAGAGTGCCTCAAGACGGCTCTGGAGGGCCCCAAGACGGCCCAAGACGCGCCCAAGACGGGCGACCAGAGGCCCAAGACGGCCCCAAGAGGGCCCCAAGAGGGGAACCGCGAACCGGAAATTCGAGCCTCCCGCCTCCACAGGGCCCCGCCCGGGAGGCCCCAAAGGGGCCCCAAGAGGCCCCAGGAGACCCCAAAGAGGCACCCAGGAGGCCCAAACGAGGCTTCAAGAGGCTCCCAAACAGCCCCGAGGGACCTCACAACGGACGGTGCGGACGAGCCGCACTTCGGACCGCCGCCGCCGCCGGTCCAAGAAAACGGCATCCTGGACGCCATGCGCGCCGTGGCCCTCCTGCGGTGGCACCTCCCGCCCTGGGCCAGCGCAGAGGCCCTCGGATCCCAGAGAGAATTCTCCGTCGTCAGGGGTCGTCGGCGTCGTCGTCGTCAACGCCGTCCCCGCCCCGGTCGCCCCTCGAGTCTTGTGCCGTCTTGGGCGGTTTGGGGGGCTGTCTGCGGACCATCTTCGGCTGCCTGGGGGCCTCTTGGAGGCCTCTTGGGGGCCTGTGGGGGGCCCGTTGGAGCATTCTGGATGCTTTGGGGGGGCTTCTTGGTGTCTCCTAGGGCTCTCTTTGCGGAGGAAGGCTGGAAATGTCAGGTCGGGTACCCCTGTGAGCTCTTTCTGGGAGCGGTCCTGGGGCCTTCTTGGGCTGTCTTCGAGTCCTCTAGGTCACTCCTGAACACCACTTGAGCCGTCTTGGGGCCCTCTTGGAACTCTCTTTGGCAGTCTGGTGCGATCTTGGGGCCCTCTGGGACCCTCTTTGGCCGTCTTGGCGCGAGCTTGGAGGCCTCTGGGCGAATATTATGAAAAATATACGTTTTCCGAAGGGAGTGGGGCCATTTTTGCTTCTGCGGGCCCTCTTGGGAGTCCTCTTGGATGCCTCTTGGGCCGTCTTGGGCGGTTTGGGGGGCTGTCTGCGGACCATCTTCGGCTTCCTGGGGGCCTCTTGGAGGCCTCTTGGGGGCCTGTGGGGGGCCTCTTGGGGCATTCTGGATGCTTTGGGGGGCCTCCTCGGGGTCTCCTAGGGCTCTCTTTGGGGAGGAAGGCTGGAAATGTCAGGTCGGGTACCCCTGTGAGCCCTTTCTGGGAGCGGTCCTGGAGTTTTCTTGGGCTGTCTTGGGGGCCTCTGGGTCACTCCTGAACCCCACTTGAGCCGTCTTGGGGCCCTCTTCGAACTCTCTTTGGCAGTTTTTACAGGGTTTCCGCGTCCCCTCGGAGGCCGCCGCCTCCGACCCCCCGTGGGAGGACGGGGCGGCCGGGGAGGTCCAAAATTGTCCAGGAGGGCCTCCAGAGGCTCCCAAGACGGCCCAAGCGGGCCTTGAGTCGCCGAAAGACCGCTCCAGGACGCCAAAGGTAGGCCCAACACGACCCGAAAGGCCCTCCAAGGCACTCCACGACGCTTCAAGACGCCTCTCCACAGCGCTTCAAGAGGCCGAAATCGTCAATTTTACGCAGGTTTTCGAACGATTTTGGCCTTCCAGCCTTTTCGGCTGTCCGACGTTCCAAGACGGCTCAATAGGCCCCCAAGAGCGCCCCAAGACGGCCCAAGAGGGCCCCAAGACGGTCCCAGAGTCGCCCAAGACAGCCCAACAGAGCCTCAAGACAGCCCCAAGATGCGCCCAAGAGGGGGACCACGACTCCAAAATTCGACCCTCCCGCTTGAAGAGTCCCCCCAGGAGGCCCCAAGGAGCCCCCAAGAGGCCCCAGGAGGCCCCCAAGAGGCACCCAGGAGGCCCAAACGAGGCCTAAAGAGGCAACAAAACAGCCCCGAGGAGGCCCCACAACGGTCCCAAAACGGCTACCGAGAAGCTGCGAAACTGCCTTCACGACGTCCCCGACAGGCCAACCACGAGATCCAAACCAACACCCATGAGGCCTCTGACCCACCACCCAGGGCACTGTGGCGGGAGCAGTGACAGCACTTGTGCACAGCATGTTCCAGCGGGAGCCTTCCGGAACACGCTGCAGGAGGAGGAGGAATGTCAGGAGGAGAGAGAGAGCTGGAGTGGGAGGAGGGGGAGGGGGACGAGGAGGAGGAAGAGGCCTCCAAGACAGCTCCAAGATAGCCGAAGAGGCTTCCAAGAGGGCCCTGGGCGGCCCACGAGGGCCCCAAGGCTGTGCCTGAGGCGCCCAGAAGGCCCGAGAGGGCCCCAAGACGGCCCCAAGAGAGGCCCAAGAAGGGAAACACGAACTGAGAATCCGAGGCCCCCAGTCGGATCCAAGAGGCCCCCAAGAAGCTCCCAAGAGGGCCGACGAGGTTCCAAGAGATCTCCCAAGGTGGCCCCAAGAGGCACAACTTATTTTTTTACGATTGGGCTTTGACGGGTTTTCATTTTTCCGGCCTTTTGGCATCCCGATGCTCCAAGACGACCCAAGAGGCTTTCAATACCGCTCCAATATAGAGGAAGAGGCCTCCAAGAGGGCCCCAAGACGGCCCGCGAGAGCCCCAAGACGGTGCTTGAGGCGCCTAAGACGGCCCGAGAGGGCCCCAAGAGCCCCAAGAGAGGCCCAAGAAGGGGAACGCGATCCAACAGCGGAGCGTTCCCCCCAAAAAGGCCCACAGGAGGCCGCAAGAGGACCC